TGCAACAGATTTAGCAAGTGAGAGCTGGTTTAAACTCGCACCTGCATGGTGAGCAGCCAAAGGGCTGATGAGTGCTCCCAGCAGCAGTGCCCTGGGCACAGCTTATCTGCCCACTCCAACACCCACCTGATGCAATCGGCCTTGCACTACTTGCCTTGGGCAGCAGCTCCTTCCCTGGCATGAGCACCGACAAATGTATTGACCTGAGGTCAGTACAGCTGAGGAATATGCTGGCAGTGCTGGTTATACTGGCCTGCAATTTCCAGCCACCTCTTCCCTACATCAGAGTTCAAAGACCTGGATCTGGGCCGCATTCAGAGGTGGAAGGCAAGCAGAACTGGAAGGAGAGTTGGTGGTTTATCCCAACGCCAAGTACTGTGCAAAACTTGGTGTAATCCATGGGCACAGCAGCCCAAAGTGGGACCCTAAGTGCTGATTCGGGCATGGGGGCAGGCATGGTACAGACCAGACCCCCTGCTCCACACCCCACCCCCCCAAACCCTGCAGATCCAGCTGGGGCTGGGAGAGCACCCACAGAAGTCAGAAAAAACAGATGGACCTTTGGCTTCCCCTCCCCACCAGGCAGAGAGGGGAATCTGTGCACTAAATGATGGCTGTAACACTAGGGAAAACCAGAGTAGATGATCAACACTGGGCAGAGGGAGGGGCTGCAGCTTTTCCCAGTGAGGATTTCAACTGGGAGCCATTGGGCCCCATCACTTGTCCAGTGCCTTGGTCTCTCAGGCAGAGATGCCACAGAGTCTTGCCATAGCAAAGGCAGTGCCACGCACGCCCAGTGCTTTTCAAAGGGCAAGCCTGGGACCTGCTTCCCACTCACTGCAGGGTCCAGCTCACCAGTAATTGCTGATCTTCTCAGAAGAGTGAGGAGAGCTGCTTTTAGCATAAGAAGCTGTCGATTATGTGTCACTTGGGGTTTACAGCTGCTACCACCACTGGAGACAGCAAAAGCATGCTAGGAGCCCAGCCCCATTCCCTAAGCAATCCCTAGGATGTGCCAGCATCAGCTCTGGGGCTGTTGGTCTCTCCTGATCTCAGCCACACATCAAGAGCCCACAACCCAGAGGAGCTTCCTCTGAAGGGCTTTCCCTGGAGACTCCCACATTATGGACTAACCCATGGGGACACATATACACAGAGAAGTGGGATGCCCTTCTGAGTCCTTTTGCCCCTCCCAAATCAGGCATGACATACTCCAGAGCTGCATCTTCCTTTAAATCCCCTGGCTTAATGCTTCCAGCACATCACCAAGTGTGGAAGACCCAAGCTCCCAACTTCCTCTCCTCTTCTTTGTCTTGTACCTTGTCCAGAGACAGCCTTGAGAGCCTGAACCACCTTTTTGTTACCAGCACCCATCAGGGACTTTCTGAGCTACTTTCAGCTCTGCAGTTTGTCCTTCCCATACCTGTGCTCAGCTTTAAACTCTGGCAGGACAAAGGGCATGAAAGAAATTCCCAATCAAATATTTCCTTCCACCTAGAGAAGACAGGGAGCAGTCTGGGCAGGGACCAAGCCTGGCTGAGATGTCCTCTAAGGGCTTTGCCCAGAATCAGAAATGCAGGCAGACCTTCTGCAGGAGGTGAGAAGGAAAGAACAGAGGAGGCGAAAGTCTCACTTCCTCCTCCGGCACAAGCCAACCTGCTCTCCATCTGCAGGGAGAGAAAAAAATGTGGTAGGTGATGCAGTACATACCTCTAGGGCTAGCTGGCATGGGCTAAAACCAAACAGCACCCACCACCATCAGGATGCCTTAAATGTTCAGGGATTAAAACCAACTTTTTTTTTCTGGGTGGGGAGTGTATATGGCTAGATAGGTGGGTAGGTAGGTAGATAGATAGACAGACAGATAAACAGATAGTAGGACACAGCTTCCTTTGACCGCTCTTTTCTTGACAGACTATGCTTCTGCCCCTCCTCTGCCGATCCATAGCCACTCACACAGATGGAGGGTCTCTCAAAGCAGTACATCAGGTTTTCTTCAGAAAATGGTTTAATATTAACACCCTCACCTCAATCCTAACAACTCCTGTCCTTCATCACACACGAGTCCTTGAAGGATAACAGCTGAATCTGCCAGTCTGAGGAATGGGCTCAATGATTTTGCTTTAAAACTGAGCAAATCTTTCCAGGTCCTGAATCAGGAAAGTGCAAACAGGACTCCACAAGGAGTGGTCTGGTATAAAAAGTTATAAAACCAAAATAAATAACTGTCTGTGAGAGCTGCGCAGAGATTCTGGTTCATGGTGCAGCACCATGGGGCAGTCAGGAGCAGCGGCCCCCTCTGAGGGTGCCACGGGAGGTGTAGGCATCTGCAGTCCATATTTCATCTGAAGAAGGACGTGAGGTACCAAGGCTTGGCAGGGCAGAGTGGCAGAAGGCACCTCCTCCCGCAGACCCTCTCCAGGGTTCCGCTCCTTCCTTCTGGAGATTAACCATCCCCAGGAGAGACACACCAGGAGCATCACTGCCAGTCAGCCTCCGAGAGGTTGAGCCTTACTGACTTGTGTGCACTCACTGCAGGGTTACGTGGTGGAATTACACATACGCTCAGCTCGAGGGCTACACAATGTGGTTGGAAGGAACTTCCCTTGCACTGACACAGATACACCAGTAAGTATTTGTGTCTCATCTCTTCAGGTGAGCTCAGGCTCCAGCTAGGGTTTACAAATCTTGGCAGGGCTGAAAATAATGCAGCATTCCCTTGCAAGAGTCTGTGAGGACAAGAGGGAGGTAGAGGAGCTGCATTTCTTCACCTGCCATCACAGAGCCTTGCAGGTGCAGACTGGCACATGCTGGAAAGGCCATCACTGGACCAGAGAGGGGTCGAGCAACCCAGGGAAGTTTAGACTAGACAGTTTAAACTTTGAGGCTCAGATTCCTCAAAGGAAGCCCCTGGAGCCACCGTGCAAATCTCATCTGGTTCAATAGTCTCCATGTGCCTAACGCCTAGTGTGTAAATAGATTGTGGGGTTTTGTAGGGTTTCAAACTCACTGTGAGCAGTGAGAGTCCTCTGAAAGTTGTAACCCTCATTGCTGCTCATCAGGGATGGGGAAGGGCTGCTGCCGGCCCTGAGTGAGGGGTGGGCGGTTGCAGTTCATCCCTGCGGGATGTCATCTGCTCCTTACAGGGCAAGGAAGCACCAGCAGCATTTCAGGGTGCATGCTGAACTGGGGCCTGGCTAATATCCAGGCACAGGTGTGAAGATGATAACCCAGAGGGAACTCGGGATATCAGCCCCTGTGGCCCCACGAGCCCTTGGCTGTGTATCCAGGAGGGAGCGGTGGAAGTTCTCAGGGGACTATATATGTGTGCTCACAGACACCCGTGGTCACCTGCTTCCTTCCACAGTGAAATCATTTATACCCCAGAGAAGGGGGGCTGGTGTTAGTGCAATTCATGCAGCAGCTGCAGGAATCTGCTGCTTACACCCAGGATGAATCCAGTTAGTGTGAGGTGAGATAAAACACAGTGTAACATGCTCGGCGAGAGATCTGCAACACGTGTGTGTGGTATCTTTGTGCACGTTTAACTTTTGTTAAAGCCCAGGAACGAAGGAACCGTTGTAGAGGCCCTGTAGCAGGGCGTCATCCAGCAGCAGAGCCTGCTCAGCGGGTTTGCTGGGGGGCTGACCTTTGAGATGGAGGAGAAATATTTCCTCTTTGAACTGCTCTGCAGAGATAATGAATTTTATAATGGATTTCCTGTTCTTTTTATAGAACAGGGGAAGCTGGCAGATCTGATCTAAGCTTGCTTTAGTGGAGCTGGACATAATTATGTTTGCTTGATAACCTGATACTTTCTTAAAACATGTTTTTCTTTGGTCTGATTCAAAGCATCACACTGGGATTCAAACAGTCTTCAGTGGGAGTAGAGAGAAATATTGGGGAGCAGTCAGATGCATGGGAATGATCCACAGATATGAACTGCCCTATGATCAGATCAAAGGTCCCCTGAGCCCAGTGCTGATTCCAGCAGCAGCAGGAGGAGGCAGCATGTGAGCCCACCCCTTTCTGCCATCTGCTCCCTATGGACTTCTTCAGCATCCACCACTGTTGTGTTACAGAAGTTAGAGGGCACAAGTCTCTCTGTTGCTTCTGCTGCCTTTTTTCATTGGTTGTCCATAAACCCCTTTTGAACCCATGCATGCCCCCTGCTTCTGTAGCTTCCCACCTCAGCAGGATATAGAGGTTGACTGTCCCACAGCACAGAGGCAGGATTTCACATTTCAGCAGCCCCATGGGGTTTTTCTGCCACAGCAGGACATTTTATGTCAGCTGCTAATGAAACCCTCGTGAGCAGCCTCCAGGATGCCTTGCATCTCTGGTTCTCTAAGTCGCTCCAGCTCACCCCCTCTCACTTCAAGAGGCTGATGCATTTCCCGGTGCTGGGAGCTCTTTGCATTGCATGCACAAATGAAAAGTCCGCCCAGCTTCCTGGCAGGAATCAGGCATTTATAACCTGTGCAACAAAGTGGAGAGTTCACACTCTGTTGCTAGACTTCCATCTGCATGTTGATCTTCAAGCTGCTAATCTGTCATTCCCTTTAGTTAACATTTCTCTCCCTTTACCTCACTGTCCTCCTACAGATCTGGGCAGCAAAAGATCCACCTGATAAGCCCCCTCTCCTCAGCAAGTTTTGTTGATCCCCGGCCTATTACCTTTCCCCTCACCTGGGCAGGCTTCACACTCTCGCCAGGCACTTTCCTGTGCCACACACATACTCCTCACACCTCAACAGAGGTGACCACTGAGCCCATCCTCAGACCTGAAACCCTCCCCAGGGCACAGGGCCAGCACCCACATATACCTGCAGCGCCAGTCCCACTCTTCCTCCTCCTCATGTCCTGGCTGAGCCCCCCTGCACGGTGGCTCCTGGCTGCCACCGCATCTGTCCCAAACACCTTATAGTGCAGCCTCCCCTCGCTACCAGCAGTCACAAAAAACCAAACATGAGACCAGAGCAGCAACATGAAAGTCCCTTGGGAAATTTTTGCTTTAATTAAACCTAATATTGTTGTTGTAAATGACCAGTCTGGAATCCCATTAAATTCTTGGTCTCAGTGACTTCTTATATTAATATTTCACTGACCATCTCCTTATCCTTCGTCATGAGACATGGAAAGCATGACCCCTGCTCCCTCTCTCCAGGCTGTTTGGTACTTCCAGTCCCCCTGTCACATCCCTTTGGACAGCTAGCCCAGGCTGGGCAGTCTCTTGCCACCACAGAGCTGTTTGCATTTCCAGGTACCTCCTCCAGACTGTGCAGGTTTAGGATATCCGTCTCTGAGCAGATCTGCAGGCTGCAGCCAGTTGGGACCTGGTGATGTTCTTCACATTGCTCCATGATTTCCCTCTCATGAGTCCTGACGTTTGTCTGCTCTTCTGACTGCAGCTGCCCCCCAAGCAAGAGTTTTGGGTGAGCATCCTCTGCAGCTAAATCAATGGGGACTGCTGCCTAGTGCCAAGTCAGGATTGCAAAAACAAGCAAAATTTTGCATGGCATGATAAATGTCTGAGGAACAAATAGGGGTTTCAGTGCCAGATCATACAACTTGTACACCCCACTCACAGACCTGGCAGGGGCTGGCTGGGGATACACATGTCTGCACCACCTAGGAAACATAACTCAGGGCCAGGCTGACCTTGGGGCAAAGGGATGTGCATTGCTCCAATAATCCAGCTGTGTCAGCTGCCAGGCTGGGAGTTATCTCCTCAAGCTCTCCCAACACTGGTGGAGGGGATCTCCAGGCACGTGACACTGCCCAGCCTTGGTCCTGTTAGGATCCTGGCAGCAGTGTCAAGGTGAGTCCGAGCTCTGCGGTTAATGTTAGCCAGTCTGTGGGAGCACAAATTATTCCACTTGAAGGTTTTGGGCCACAGGTGCCTTGGACCATATTTGCAGGGAGGAATGATGATGCGGCACTAGATTCAGAAATAGGGGAGTGCAGCCAGAGATGGCCAGGAGGAGGTTAAATATTTCCCCACAGGGAAATAACTTTTGGCCCTGAGCACAGTTCCCACAGCTACAGTTTCATGATCTTTGACTACAGTGAACACATCTCCCTATTAACTGACCTCCTGGATGCCTGCTGGCCTGGAGCAGCAGGATCTGTTACCCTCTGCTTTTGTTGTATCTCCTGATGTTATGCAGAGCTTCCAGCGTGTCTGGAAAATTGGAGAGTTTGAAGGAATTGTGACTCCAGGATGTTGTAGAGACTGAAAGTACAAACTGGTTTGAAAAAGTGGGCAGCACAGGAGGAGGTGGGCGTGTTTGGTGTATTGTTGGCCATTAAACAGAGGTCTGGAGCAACCTCTGCCTTCCTCTGAACTGCTGTTAGCTGGAAGGTGGACGTTAACCGGGAGGACTATTGCCTGCATGTCCCATTCCTTGTGCTTTTCTCCAGGGTTCCTTGGCAGCTGTTGGTAGATGTGGGTTAGAGAAAGCAGAGGGATTACATGAGCTTCCTCTCTTCAGCAGCCGATGGAGGTTATCATACCCTGTCTGTCTGAAACCAAAGAGCAAATGCATTGCAAATTCTCTCAGAGCATCCCCTGCCAGCCTCCCTGCCTCCCATGGCACTTAGCAGAGGAACGGGGCTGCCTCGGCTTCCCCACGGAGAGGCAGACTACAAAGAAGAGCTTCATGGGGTCTTCTCTTCTGTGTTCCTCTTCTGCTTCTGATCAACACCGACCACATCCTCACCCCACAGCGGGTGTTAGGGCCTTTGAACAGTGCTTGACATGCTGGGGAGTCTCAATGGACTGACAAAAGGCTGCTGTGGGATCCGGAGTGGATTAACACTTCTGAAAAATCAGACTTTTATCAGCACCTGCGTCCACAGTTGGGAGCTGGACATTGCAGGCTTATTTATATCAATCTAGATCTTGCTGTCCAGACTGAAACTAAGTTCTTCAGACTGAGAATTTGTATTTCAAATTTGTCTTTTAAAGTAAATCAGGCCTGCTGAAAATATGAAATTAAAGCAAAAACTATGCAGAAAGGATCCATGCTTTCCTTGGTGAATTGCCTCAGGACACACATTTATTAAAGGCAGAAAGGGAGTGGGTGGAGACAAGGAACCTGTCTCTCTTGCCTGCAGTCCAATTCTGGTTGTGTGAATAAGCTGATGGTTAGGGTTTATGGGTGGCTCTGGCAGAAAACATCAGTGCAAAACAACTTTGTCCCTGCAGCTTTTGTTAAACATCCTTTGCCAGAGGGAGGAAAAAAATGCTGCTTGTGATGCTGCTCCTTGCCTTGACCCTTTGGAGCAAAAAAATAAAGCCTGTGAATGCTCCACACTGGGCAAGGATTGAGCTCCAGTTTGCAGCCATGTCTCAGCCAGCCACTGTAGCAGATTCATGACAGGGAAGTTCTAGCCATGAGCATCATGTCTCATTCTCCCAAGCTTTGGTGGTGTGTGTTGTCTGTTCTGGTGGCCTCCTCTGATACAAAACGGTCTGGAATAACATTGTCCTGCTTCTCCTCTCCTCTAACTCTAGATGAAGCATCTCTGAGCTCCAAGTTTCTACATTTGAATTGCAGTTCGCAGTCACAATGTTCACACCACGCTTTACTCACACTCTAGTCCGTTGGCTTCTCTCTGCTGAGGTATCTTGCAGAAGCTGCTGGGTGGAGCCAGGTTACTTAGGAGCTTTGCTTTTCCCAATATGTGGTGTTGGGTTGCTTGTTGGACAGGAGGGTGATACAGAGAGCTTGGACCTGCCTTGCTGGTCTCAGCTGCAAAATCCTGCTCTCTCTTTATTTTTTTTTTTTTGTCTGAGATTATTTGGATGAAATACAAAGTTCATTTTTACACTGGACACTGCTACAGTGTGTTTCAACTGTAGGGAAGAGACTTACTGAGATGAAATCCTCTAGGAGAGTACAAGAACTTGTTTCTTTTGATGTCTAACCAGTACAAGTGGGTAGAGGGGAGGGGACCCTTGCCGGGAAGGTCATGGACTGCCCTCAGCGGTTAAAGAAGAAGGACTTGAGGCTCTGCAGAAACTGTGACTTCTGTCTCTGCTTCTGCTTCTTCCGGATAATGGGGATCCAGACAAGGCCACAAACGAGGAGCATCAGTCCCAAGGACAGGAAAGCCGGGCCACACATTTTGTAAACGTTTTTGTTTTTGATTTGGATGCAAGACAGGCTGGTGATGACCATCCCAAAGAGAAAGACAGCTGCTCCGACAGATACGACAATGACAGGCTTGTGGTATATGTCCCACTTGCTTCTGGATGTGCTGGTCCAGACAGACTCGCTCCGGGAGCTGATGCAGAGGGTGCTGGCTGTGTTACTGGTCAGCAGCTCCTTGGACTGAGGAGACTTCTCACTCCCATCAGGGCTCTTGGGGGGAATTTCCATGGCAACGGGATCTGAGGAAGAGACCTGAGATGGACAAAAGAGAAAGAGCAAAGCAGGACTAGTGATGGAGAGTGGATTAGGTGCTTTCCATTTGGTCATTAAATAGTGACAAGTCAAATGAAAGTGGAGAAGGATTTGTGTCACTGCGGGGAGAGAAGAGCATCACACCTATGAGAGCAATAAGATGTAGGAATAGGCAATAGGGGCTTGCAGGGCTTAGGGTGTCTGCGTAGTCCTGCTGCCCACCCATGGACAGTGGGACTCCTGTAGTCCCTGTCCTGAGACCTTCCAGCTCACGAGCTTCCAGCTCCCACAGGGATTCAGTGGTGGGATGAATAGATGTTCATTGGAACCTACTACCCTGAGCATGCTAGGGATGTTGGCTGCTTTCAGGGGAGTAGCAGGGTGCTGCAAGCAGGGCTGGTGATCCTGGTTGCATCCCTGGACCCACTTTCCCTCTCAGAACTCAAATTACACCTCAGTACCTTGTGGCATGGTCATGTCGCCCTCTTGCAGGTGGGGAAACTGAGGCACAGGTGTGCCATGCAAGGACTGCTATGGTGGGAGTGCAGAAAGAACTTTCCCATGGGCTGAGGATTTCCTTCAGACCCCTGAGGCTGGATGTTCCTCATTGCCACATCCAGCCTAGATGTGCCAGTCTTGTAGTAGCCACAGCACAGGAGTTTCTCATTTCCTATCTAAATGCACGGATGGGAGATGGGGAAATGCTCATCACACAGGAAATATTTCTCCAGCTGTAAACTGGAGCAGGCTTCTATGGGAAGGCTCTTGACTTGGTAGCAGAAGCACACTGAAACACTCTGCCTTGTGACAGATAGGTCAGCAGTGTGGCTTTATGGCACATTATTTTTTCACCAACTCAAGGAGGAAATACATTTTCCCAGAAACAAAGTGCCTTTAGCACAGAGAAACCATTATGGTAAATGAGAAGGGCCAAGCATTATGTTAACCACTATTTCCTCAGGGCTCTGCTGAGGAGACAAGGGCAGGAGGGTGGATCAGGGAGTGCTCCTGATGCACGTCAGCCCTGCTGCTGGGAAGCCCAGCAGAGATGAACCCATGCAGGTACCAGGGATGAGGAGGGCGGGAGAGGCCAGGGGCATGGATGCTTCACACCCAGGAAGAAGATTTTTTTTTGCAAAGTTCTCCTGCCTGAGTTGCCAGGATTTCTCCTACAGGTTCTGCTGTGTCAGGAGGGCTGGGACTGACCTGTCCTCTGCCAGTAGTTCGAGCTGTCCCCACCCTCAGGCATGGGGATGTTCTGGAGCAGGAATATAACAGCAGTGCCAGCCTGGAGCAGTACAGGACCCTGCATTGCCCTTCTGCCAGCACCACAAAGCAGAGCCAACGGTGATTGCTGCCAGACCGAAAGCTGCCCCTTGTGGGGCTGCCCCATGCTGGACAGCAGTCAAGCTCAAGTCACATCCATGCTGTCCTGGGCACAAGACCCTCGTGGGGCTTGGATGGATGGGCAGTGCCACCAGGACTCTGTGCCTGCTCCACGGTCAAGCACAGCTCTTGCAAAGCACCATGCAAGCTTTGAGTCTAAGTGGGCATTGATCTGGAGCAGTTAAATGAAAACCCTGCCTTGGCCCTCGTGTGGCACAGACAGCACCATGGGCTCTGTGTTTGCTTAGTTCAGCCCTGGTTGCACCCAGACCCACTGCTGGCCCTTGGAACGGCTCAGCAGGAGGTACACACCATGGTGATGCCAGGCTGGATTTTCACCCTGTGTGCGCCACGGGAAGGCCTGTGGCTGAAGTGGGCAGCAGCGAGGTGTAGATGAAATGAGCGTGAAGCCCAGTGGCCCCAGATCTTTTCCCGTTCCTGCTGATCAATGTGAGAGCATGTACCATGTAAGCGCAGGCACAGAGGCTGCAAAGCTGGCACAGCTCCAGAGGCACTGTCTTAAGGAAACCTGCCCGGATTTGGGCCATACCGGGCCCAGTGCCCATCTAGGCATGCTGATGGCTGGGTGCCAGCCAGCACCTCCCTTATTCTTTCACCTGTGTCCACTGCCAAGGTTTGTGTTTTATTCTGAGAAGAGACAGATGTAATTTTTCAATTTAGTCCTCCAAACACAGACACTTACAGAAATGCAGATCTGGTGGTATCAACGTATTTTGTGATGTTTCAGGTTTGCTGAACTTGGACCAACAGGCAAAAAGCAAAAGCCAAGAGCAATGGACACAACTTATGTCTCTCCTACCTTCAGCTTTCACCCCTCTCTGTTGAACTGGAAAAGACAGGGCAGAGGAGGGGACATGTATCGGCTGTGCTGAAGTATCTTTTACAGCACTTGATCAGGGATGTTCAAACACTTGACAAGGCAGGTAAGTTTGGTCATAGTAGCAAGCTCTGGTTTCTGTTTCTCTTCCTTTTGAACTGGTATCTCTGCAAGCTGGACTGATGGCAGTGAGGCATCCTGAACCCTTGGCTTTGGAGAAGCATGAGCTGCCATGAGATGTTATTTAGATGGCTACAACTGTGTTAGACATGCAGGTGATCAGGGAAAACTTCTTGCTTGGCTGGTGTGTGCAGCTGCCTTGCTCACAGCATTCTGGGCTGTGATCTCCCTCTTCTAGCTCAAATCTTTTGCAAGGCTCTTCCTGAAATTTCATCCTAGGTAGCTGTGGCATTTCTTGGTTTTATGATCAAGACACTGTAAAATTTTAATTTGGCTTTGTGGTTGGAAATTTGCTTTCTTTTTTGGAATAATGCCCTGATCTCATATCTCAGCAGTCTAATGCAGTCTGTCTGCCCCATCTTTCAGACACCCCTCTCCCTCCTTGTCCATGTGGTGCTGCTCTGTCTCCACACTGGGGGTACTCTGAGCTCTGCAAAGCACCTTCCTCTTCACTTTGCAGAGCGTTAGTCTCAGGCTCCTGCAGAAACCATCATCTTCCTTTCAGGTTTGCATTTACACTAGAGTGGATTTCCCCCCACCCCCCTGCCTTTTATTTTCTGACATAACCACCCCCCTCACCACAGTTCCCAGACACTTACAATTTTTCTGGCACTTCCTGGCAGAGCATGCTGGTTTGGTCACAATTTCCCCCACTGTTAGCTAGTAACATGTATCTGCAGCTCTTGGGAAAGCTAATGCAATTTCAGTTCCTGCTCTGCCCATGCTCTATCCCTAATTCATCACAGATGTTCTCATACTGGAAGATGCAATGGTTGTACTGAGCGGCCTGGCAGGATAATGCTATCAGATTTCTCCCAATTTTTTAAATCATTATTGTTGTAAGGAGAGTCAGCAGATGACTGGTTTCTGGCTTGAAAATGCCTCCAAACCACATCTCGGATTTCATGTCTGGAGTTGTGCTGCTGCTGTCTCTGAAATCTTGGGCAGCTGTTGGTGGTGGAGCTAACACTGGGGTCTGTCTTTTCCCCCTCCGTAAAAGCCTCATGTGATTCTATTTCTCCTGCCTTTGCTCTTCCAGTGCTTTTTGTGATGATGTTTGGTTTCTGATCTGGGAGATCTACTGGGGCCCGCTTACTGGTGCCACTGGGGACCCTAGTGCTAAAACAGCACAGCACACACTTGGGTGTCTCCTGGGCCTTGGGGACATTACATGGTGGTGCTGAGGAGAGAGCTTTGGACTGAGCAGAGCACCCAAGAGCTCTGCCCCAGGTCCCTCAGCCCATCCCGCCTGTGGATGACATTCCTGACCTGCCAGCCTGCAGCAGCGGCAGCTCGGGTGTCCCAGCCAGGACCTGGGATGCTGCAAGCAACATGCAGAGGTGGCCAGAGCTGAGCTAAAGGTGAGGCAACAGGCTGATCTGAAGACTCTGCTCCTATGCAGAGGTCTATGTCCTTTTGGCCATGTAAGAGCTGGATTTACTCGCCCAATACATTCTTCAGCCAGGCCATCTCCTTTTTACCTGGAGAGGCAGCCCTGATTCTTCAGGATCTTCTTAGATGCTCCCCTTAAGCTGTCAGTGCAAGCAGTTTCTGTCACTTCTTCCTCCCACTTTGCACATCTGGGGACACAGGAGCTTCCCCATCTCAGACAGTCTAGCCCCGGGGACTGGCATCCACCTCCATCTGGCTGTACCTCAACACCCCTCTCAGTATCACAAAGTGGATTTGGTCCTTGCCCTAGGACTACGTGGGTGCCATCCCATGGGAGCACCGGCAGTGTGGGTGAGTGTGGACCTGCCCTGGGTGCAGAGTCATGGGTGTGGTGGTGGTGCTGCTGCTGTGTGCGGGGTGATGCGGAGGGGCTGCAGCACTTAGGTTCTCTGTCTTGTGTTTTACTACACAAATAACTGGAGGAAAAGTTAAGAATTTTGCAAACCAATTGTCAAATGTTGCTGGAATTCAAGGACAAGTTTGTCGATATGTTCTGTGTCCTTTTCTGCTGTCAAGACACTTCCCTGAAGAAAGCTCACCACCCCACCAGGGGTGGGACAGGCAGCAGAAGCTCCTGCTCTCCTAAGGCAGGTTCACCTCCAGCCCCACATCCCTCTGGGAATCAACCATCATAGAAAAACATGTTTTGAGGAAAAAAAATGTGCTCTGCACTCCACAAATGTGACTTGCCCTGATTTATGTTGGGGAGAAGAAAAGACACCAGTCTGGATTGAGGGCCCTTTTCCTGAGGGCTCAGACCCTGCCAGACGTCCCCAAGCAGACAAAATGAGTGAGCTCTGGTCTGTCCATCACCAGTGCCACCCCTGGAATTGGTGATTGGCATCTCCAGTGTTATGGAGCTGGGTGGAGGTCACCTGAACACAAATGTGCACACATTTCTCCACCTGTCCCCAGCCTGGCCATCTAACCCCCCAAAGACACAAGCTGTTCCACAGAGAGGAATCCCCAGACCCTCCCTACTACCCCATGGCTCTCTGCGGCTTCCAGTGGCCTCCAGACAGCTTGGGGTGGTCTCCTGGCAAATAGAAGCATCAGGCGCTCTGCAAAACCTTGGGGTAAGACCCAAAGGGTTTGTTTGTCCTTCAGTCAGATGATGTGTCCTACCTGCCACCCCAAGGGGTATGCGGCAAAGTCCTCGCTAGTGGGTCCCAGCTGGGAGAAAATTGTAATGTTGGGCAATGGAGGAAAACGGAGAAGTGCTTTTCTGGGCATGGCTTTTCCTGCTGCTCTGGGGTGCCTCAGTCTGACTCTTTAATCAGTCTCTTTAACCTCAGTACAGGACACCCACCAGATGACAGTCATGTGTCCCATGTTTGCTGGGACAAGGGGTTAGTTACTCTAGAGGACTCATGTGACCATGGGATGGGTGGGAGAGGAGGCTGCTGCACTGGCGGACATGTGCATGCGTGCAGTTCGTAGAAATTTTTGTTAGACATTTAGTGCTGTCCAAATTTAATTGAGAGTGGCTATCAACCAGGTTCAAAGTGAATAGGAATGAGATGTATACTCAGTGAGCCACCATGCCCGAGGTCCCCAAGAGACCCAGTAAGATGGGGACTGGGGGGCTGCTTCCCGGTGGAGGTGGGGGACCATCCCTGCCCGCAGCTGTCCAGAGAAGAGCAGCCCTGTGGCCGCACACCTGCCTCAGGGGATTTGCATGCGGGGAGGTGCTGATGGGAGACAGCATCTTGTTCCTTGTGCAGGTGTTGGGGCAGGGAGTCCCCTGGGGAGGGACTGAGTGATGAGACCCTACTCACCATGCTGTGCTTCTGTCGCCCTGGCTGTCACCGAGGTGTGGTGGCTCGCTGCTGGAGGTGAGGCGGCCAGTTGCACTAAACATCCCCTGAGCACGCTGCAGAGAAACCCAGCCACTGGCTCCTGCAGGCACAATAGGAGCGGCTCAGAGAATCCAGCTTTCTGCTCCTGTGTGTCAGCCCTGGGAGGGCTGGATCCTGCCGGGCTGAGCAGGTTCTGCTCTGGGAGAGGAGAGGGACAGTTGTGTGGATGCCAGGCATGAGTGCTAAAGCCCCATCCTCTCTCCTCCCGTCCCCACCCCCTGCTCACCTTGGAGCGAGGAGGGGACTGGCAGTAGCTTTGTGGTAGCAGTCCCTGCAGGCTGGCTAGCCCTGCTCTGAGACCAGGGGTGGAGAAATAAGGCAATGTGTCAGGGGATTTCACATTGCCTACAAGCCCTACCAGATCTTTGATGTAAATTGAGATGGAGTCAGTGTCCATTTGCTGGTGTAGTGGAGCCGGGTTGGGCCCAGCCACCTGCATCCCTTGGGAGCAGCTTTCCAGCATCACCCAGAGTTTAAACAGTCCCGGCAACACACTCAGGGTCTTGCTGAGTAAAGAACATCTGCAAGGCTCTTTCCGGGGCTCAGCAAGAGAATGACCTCAGCCTCGCTGTGCCATATCCCCTCTCCCTTTCCACCACCCCCAGAGCCAAACCCGTGGAAATCCATCCTACTTACAGAGTGAGTGATGAGGGATGGTTATCCGCTTCAGTGGCAGTGGGACAGGATGCAGCAGAAGATCCTGCTCTTCTAAGCCAGGCTCACCCCAAGCCCCACATCCCTGTGGATATTGTCTACTGGGCTCTGTTGAGTCTAATAAACAATGGAGTGCTTCCCAGCTCTGATGATCTCACCAGCATATCAGTATATTGTTTAACTCTTTGTTGCCCTATCTCAGGCCCCTGAAAAGCTGACTTCTAGGCAGCTTGCCTGGGAGGGTTTTATAAAAGGCCGCAGTTTGGGAGGCAGTCCAGTGACATGGCAGGAGAGGCAGAGTGGGTTGGTGCATGGAGCAGGCATCCAAGACCGGGGACCATTGCTGATCCAGACTTAGATCATCAGCAAGTTCCTGAAACATCTCTGGACTGCAATTTCTGCACTCTCAAAGCAGGGGCTCATAGCCAGTATCTGCAAAGTGCTTTGACGCTCCTGGGTGAGACATTAGAGGGATGCAAAATATTAGCACTTAGCTATTAATTAACATCCTTAGTCCATTACAAGGAGGGGGATGGAAGAGGGAGGTGGCTCTGGCATACTGCCTTCTTTCATGAACTCACAGCCAAACTTTAATATCCTCTTATAACAGTTCTACTTGCTGGAGGGAAGGGATCCAGTCTGACAAAGACATTACTGGCATCCAGGGCCAGGTTCCAGTGTCAGTGGGGCTGCCTCCATCCCCAAAGGCTCTTTGGTGTCTTGGTGAGTAAGTAACACTACCTAAGCTGCACCACAGACCTGGCCAGGGATCGGGTTGGGGTGGGATGGGCAGGAGCTGTGGAGCTCTCATGGGGATGGTCATGCCCCACAAGGGTGGTGGGCTGGGTGCAGAGCATCCCAGGGCAGCATATGGGGCTGGAAGTGGAGGAGGAGGGTCTAAGAGACACTGTGGGTCAGGATTCAGGGAAAACAGCTCATCCAGGTGTGGGGAGCTCAAGCAGGAAGATCAGTGGCTGTTTGCCAAGATGAGGTCTTTCAGCTCAGCTCTATGTAGACCTCTGGCCAGCAGGAGGTGGACACGGGACAGGTTATGGAGCTCTTCAGTAAGAGGCAGCTGGGGCAGTGGGCTCACAGGCTGGGGCAGGGGCAGAGAGGCTGAGGGGTGCAAAGGTGAGATGAGCACATCATCCTAGTTCGTGGTCTGTCCTCACCTCTTGATGGGAGGTGGATGAGTTAGCTGAGCTCAACAGCCAAATTCTGGGGTAACATGGTGAGCTCCATTGCCCATTGACCTGGGAACCAGAAACCAAAGGAGCCATGTGTTTTGGGGCATCCAGGGAGATTTAAACAGATTAAAATATTCCCTAGAACTGGGAGAGTTGAGTAGATTTGAGTTCCCTAGTGCAGGTCCAAGGAGGTGAATGCTCTGTCCTAAAGGAGCAGTTGGGGGAAAAAAAAAAAAATTAAAATGGAGGTGGGAAGGCTTCATTTCAGCACCTGCAGTAGGATGACATTCACATCCTGGTTCTACACCTTCTCCAGGCTCAAATCCCTGCTGGGGAGCATCTAGCCCTGTGCTTCATCCAGCTACCTCACCACATGGCCCTACTCATTTCAGCCCCTCCAAACTTGCCCTGTGCTCCTTGCAGTGCCCCTGGCACCTCCTTCCTGCTCCAAGGACCAAGCCTGGTGGCAGTGAGCATGCAGGGGCCAGGTCACAGCCTCTGGGAATGGTCACAGGCAGGAGTGCCTTTTGAGCCTGGAGCCTCATTTATTCCCAGGTAACCTGAACCAGGGGCTGAACATTTACTAGGGATGGCTCCTGCCTCTCCAGGGCTATGGTACATCCCTCCAGGGCTGGGGTATCTCCTGTGTGATGGATTCTGCCCCATGGGGTCATCCGTGGGCTGGGTGGGCTGAATGAATGGGGAATCCCTCCCAGTCCGTCCTTCATGCAGATGCCGTGGGGGCATCCCCCGCCCCAGCCGGGTCTCACCCCCACTCCCAGGCCAGCCTCAGCTTGCCCGGCTGCTGGCCTCTCCCCGCAGCCAGGAGAGCAGTTTGCAGCCTCCACCTCACTGCTTCCTCCTTGGACTCTTGCTGCCACCTCGCGGGGCCGTGGGGAGGAGCAGCGCTGGGGTCCCCTTGGGGACACTACACAGGGGTTGTCCCTGGGCCCCCCAGGGTCAGAGCATCCCCCAGCAGAGCTCCTCCCCGGCAAACGCATGCACACACGGTGGTACCTGCAGATATTCATCCCTGCAGCTGGAGCTGAGGGGTTACACTACTGTCCCCCACAAGGGCAGAGGGAGCTCCAAGCACCTCAGCAGCACAGGTGATGGAAAACCTGCAGTCATTTGGCTTGCAAAGATGTCTGGACACAGTGGTGGGGTGATGTGGCTCCCCATGTATAACCCTGCAGGGTTGTGTCAGCTGTGTCACATCCCTCTCTGGGGGCCGTGTGCCCTTACCGCTCACCATGGCCTGGTCACCAGCTTCCTGGCAGGCACAAAAGGTGAATGATGATTTCATCACCTGCCAGACCATTTAGATTGTGAGGTATGGTCACAACCCTACACAGTGACAGAAAATTAAACCCCGAGTCCTACCTTCGTCCCTTTCCTTCTCACCCCTCCTTCCAAACTTGCTTCCTAGGGCAGATGCATTGGTAAGGGCCGATGCAGTCCACTGCAGGCCATTAACATTTTTCTGTCTGAGATAAAGGGAATATAATCTATTCTGGCCATGAGTGCCATGCCCAGAGAACCATGGGCAGCTCACACAATTTCAGAGATGTCGATGGTCACCTGCTGGCTCAGCAGCACAATGATATAGGATAGGATAGGATAGGATAGGATAGGATAGGATAGGATAGGATAGGATAGGTTATACGGTAGGATGGGCAGGAGGTACCCAGGGAAGGGAACCCAGCACTGGGGCAGCTGAGGTGTCACAGAGCAGGGTTACAAGAGGATCAGAGAGCCAGCAGAGCCTCCTGGGTCATGGAGGTGATCACAGGCACAAAGGCATGAAGCTCCTGACATAATCTGACTGGGCAGCTCAGCTTTGCTGGATGGAGAGGCTGATCCAGTCCCTTCCAGCTCATGGTTTAACTTTTATCTTCTAGCTGGTATGTGCTGGTGGCTGGTTCATCATCCTTGTTCTGCTGCTAGTGCTGCTGTTGACCAGAGTTATGCATCCTGCCTGTGTTTGCTCCTCATGTCCTACAGAGGCCATGTCCACCACCTTGGCAGTGTGCCTGGGGATGGAAGGTCTCCTGTTCCTGCCAGCACCCACTGCCCTCCTCTGTCTTTTCCTATGTTGACATCGTCTCTCTCAAAGAGAGATGGGTGTGTGGATGGGTGCTAGGCTTCTGTGGCCTCTGGGGCACGAATTGCCTAAAGAGTGGGACAGCTGCATTCAAATAGTGAATAAGACAGGTCCCAGGTCTGCTCTTTGGAATACTCTTCCCTCCAGATAGAGACCTTCTGTGTGACCTCTGCCTTTTCTATCTCTTCTCAAGTTGTTTCCATGATGGTCTCATGCTTGCTGGGAGTCCACGTTCTCCAGCTGAACTGGTGGTTTCCCAGGAGGCTCAAATGACTCAGTGGGAGCAAGAGAGCCCCTCTCCACCTGCTGTTAAAGTCAAGAGGCTCATCCAGGGTCAGGCTACACGGTCCTGCTGTATCCATCCTGTTCACTCCTCCATGCTGAGGAGAGCTCCTTTGCGCTTCCTCCAATGTTCAGCCCCATGTCCATCCTCCTTCCTCACACTAATGCCCACCCATGCCCAGGATTAGGAGAGAGATGGTGTTGGAGGTGGGTGGCAAAGGTCTTTTCCAAACAGCATCATTTCACTACAGCAGAGGGGGAAAAAAACCCACATTGCTTTTGGCTGTGGTAGTCACAGAGCTCACAGCGAGCTCAGGCTCCCCTGGCTTAGCCAGGATCTCAGGCCCTGGACAGACATCCCTGGGAGTTTGCAACGATACAGGACAACTGGCTGCAGGCATTCAAACAAGGCAATGAAAGCAAATTGTGGATAAAGTTGATCCCTTATTCTTCCACAAGGTCAGAGTGAAGCATGGGTGACAGGAGACCAAACATTTTTCCCCAGGCTCAGGGATGTGTGTTGGCATGAGGGGCCTGTCCACAGACACCCTTGATGCAAAGCAGTCTTCACCTGCTTTGAGCAACAGTTGTGGGCTCCATGGGCCCCAACAAGCCCACCCTGGGGTTTGTAATACTGACAAAGAGACAGGCAGGAGGGAAAAGGGTCAGGGAAAGGTATGTTTCTGTTCAGATACTAGCTCTGTGCCAAATGACATGAGAAAGTCCCTTAATCTGGATTAAATAAATAAAACCAAGGTTTTCCCTTCCTGGTACTCCATGGAGGAGAGCAGGGACCTGCTCAGGAGGTGTCTGGGCAGGGAGGAAAGAAAGCTGCTCTGCTCCTGGCTGACCGTTGAGAATCTGATCTGGAGTCGGAGATGGGTTTTTCCCACCACTGTCCCCATAGCTCTGTCCTCAGTGGGAGCACATTTATGCTGCTACAAAAGCATCTGCCCTGACACAGCCCTTTCTGGTGGGAGAGGAAAACTCCTACCCAGGGATGCTGAGCTGCCACAGGGTATGGACAGAACAAGGCAGAAGTCATATGCTGGGTGGAGCTGTGCTTGGTCAAACAGCGCTGCTGGGGACGCACAGGGAGCTGATCTGTGCAGCATTTCTGGTTCTTTCAACAGTAGATGGTGCTCTTGGCCTGTCAGGATGGTGCTGGCATGTCTGGCTGTGCAGAGGCAGGTGAAATCCAAATTAATCTCAAGGGTGTTGGGTCCATCTCAGGCCTCTGGCAGCGGAACCTGCAGCCCAAGAAGCCTTTTCCAGACCTTCTTCCCCTGTCCCCACTCTCAAAACCTGTGATGCAGCTGGCAGGCATTGTTTTGACAGAGTAGAATCCCCATGTCAGGTGTCCCAATTGTTTGCCTCATGGCCCAAAGAGTCATCAGGAAGCCCTGAGCAAACTTGGTGGCAGCCAGCATCCCAGTTGCACATCAACTTCCTCCCCTGGGATGCAACTGAAACCTAACTTCCAGCTGTGGCATGTGAAGCAGCTCTAAAGCATGTGCTCAGCATGGCTGGAGTGTTGTTTTCCTGAGCAATGTCTCGGCATGTCATTGATTCCTGGCTGGAGCAGCTCTGCATCGGCATCTGTAGCACACCCAGGATGAAATGCT